TTTTGCAAATTAAATTATTAGCAAAATCTCTGAATATATGTTTAATTTCTCCATCTTCGTAGAAACCATAATCTGTTTCACAACCCTGTCAATTTCATTCCAAGCCGTTCTTCAAAATTAATGCTGATAAAATAGATTTACACGTCCATCAAAGTAACGTGGAAGTTTTATTCGTTGGATCGAACTTTATCGAGAGTTCCTCATCCTCTCGACACGATGTCGTATTCGTTCCATTTACGTTGTTAAAAGAAAAAAAAAAAAAAGAAAAAAATCGAAACTTGGGCGAGACACGAATCCTTAAATCACAGAAAGGATGGAAATAAAACCATCATTTTCTAGTTTTAATTAATACAGGATCAGCGAAAAACGAGACGGCGATGATCGATTTACAGCTGTGTAATTTCGTCTGGAGACGTGTTTTCGATTGCGCTGCTTTTGCTTGCCAAGAGATTGGAGACTGTGTTCTCGGTTTTAATGAAAACTCAGTGTGGATTGCAAGATAATAATTTAGAATGTGCATGGTTTTATTTGATACAAAGTTTATAAAATTTTAATTAATAGATTAAAATGTAAAATGTTTCAAACATGTTTGTAAAATTTTAATTATTATAATTGTCAAAATGATATAGGAAATAGAAAATATAATAGAAAGACGAATATTCATTTTTTAATTTTTCTTTTTTTTGTAATTTTTGGAAAGATTCTTTCATAAGATGTATGTTATTAATTTCATTTGAGTGAAATTTTGTTCTTGCAAGATTGAAGGAATAATTGATTTAAAGTTCAGGTATTGAGAAATTAAATATAATTTTACAATATTAAATCACATAATTATATTAAATCGTATAATAACAAAATGGAAATAATTTTAAAGAATTTTATTGAATTAAAAAATTGAGTACGATCAAAAATATTGCAAGAGTTAAGGTAAAATTCAAGTTGAATAGAATTGAAGAGAAGTTAAGAAGATCGATCAAACCAGTAGAGGCACGCAAACACGTAATAAATGAGATAAAAGTGTCTGGTCGAAGTCTAGACAAAGTAAATTTCGTTTTTTTGGCTACCAATTTTTTTATCTAAAAATAATATTTCACGGCGAGATATTTCTTTGTATTTTTTCACGATACGGTGTAGATCATCGGTGGAGGTAAGATCAAGTTCTCGATTAACCCCCGGGAGAGAAGATAGGCTCTGAAAAATTCTGTAAGAGTTTTTTTATAGAACTCGACGAAAGTTCGACGATGTGTTTCTCTCTAAATCTATCCTGTATAAGTTTGTCGGAAAGTTAGCCGGATTTAAAACTCAGTCAAAGCCGTGAGTTGACATTTGTTTTGGTAGTCGCTGCTTGTATATTCTTTAAAGAGAAACTGAATCGATAGGGAGACTGAAGAGGAAGAGAAATTTTAAGAGTCAGGAGAAGAAATCAAACTTTTGTTAAATATGGTAATAAGAATGTTGAAATTCGAGCAATTGCAATCACAGATTTGTTGTAAAGTAGAAAATCTTGAAACTTTCGAAGAAGGACGTGACTTAAAATCTCTAAGTAGAACAAATTTTCTTCTTCTAAAACACGATGCCAGTTATTAAATTTTAATAACAATACACGATAATTAACAATTTTATAAAAGATATTTCATTTTAAATCTATATATATATATTATTATTATACAAAGTTAATTTTTAGAATTTTAAGAATTCTTTAAATTTCCAATTTATTACGTAATAAATTGTTAAAATTTCTAAGAATATCAAAAGTTCCAATTATTTATTTATCTTATTTAAAATTATAGAGAAGAAAAGAAAGAAGTAAATTTGAGAATTATTTACCAAATTTCGTTCGTAAATACTATTAATCGTCGTTATTAGACCTTTTTCGGAAGCTGGTATTTTCGACGCATATTTTCACTTAGGAAGGATCAATGGAGATAAAAGGATCATTGAGTATTTAACGCGACACGTTTCTTTGGACGGAGGAAATTGCTTTAGAAATTTCCTTACTCGATTTCCTAGACGGAATCACGGCGTGCCTGCCTGTTCGACTTTCATTTTCTTCAACGCTCAATCTGTATTCCCCTTGTACGCTTTCTCGATGGAAGGTTATGCTCTTAACTCAAGTTTCCATGACTCGCACACTCAACGACTACCTACCGAAGCTATAGATTTAGATGATTTATGCTGTGTACATCCAATAACGTTACGTAGAAGCGTCCAATGCTACATGCTCTGAATTTATTTCCACCCCTTTTCTGCTGCTTAATGTTTCTTGGATTTCCTCCGGGGAAATTACATTTCTATTTTTAAAGAAATAGCTTATTTATATTCAAAATTCGTTTGAGATTTATGGTAATGAAAAAAATTTTTCATATTTTTAATTTTCTGCCGATAATCTTCACCCTAAATCTGATGAATATTAAAATACAATAATGTCGTATTTAATTGTATAATTTTACATATTAATATTTCTACATAAATATTCCTATATGGAATAATTTCTTTATTAAAATATTTTTTTATAATCTTCAATTTTAATTTTTACTTGCTTCTTATAATACAAATTACTCGTTCTTGGAAAAAATTTCTCGATGAAAAATTTATCATTATTTCTTTCCATATTTTCCTCCCACACCGCCATAAATATACTCACTGGAGAAATAAAAACACCGCTAACGAGCCAGATGTGTATCATCGCGTTTACATTGAACATTGTCCATGAAATTCTTTAAGAATCATTTACAAGTATACAGCTATCGTATATAAAAAAAAAAAAAAAGAACGAAGTCATATAAATAAAAATCCTCATGGATACATTCTCGCTGATTACCCTAGAGATATATTTATTTATAGAGTATTGAGAGAGCTACATTTTTTTCTTTTTCATCAAGTGATCCAATTTTTTTAAAAATGGAACAAAATAATCGTTCAATCTGGGTTGATATAAAAAGTAGAGATAAGTCGCGCATAAAAAATCACGATATTTAAAGAGGTATATAAACTGAGATATAATTGTTGGAAACATTATATCCTGGTCGGAATTGTTAGAAAAATTCTCTGTATTGGAAGAGTGAGTACGGTTAATGAATTAATGACATTATTGTATAATATATATTGTAGCTCAATAGAATTGAAAGAAATAATTAATTCACGAATTAATACAATTTTATGAAAGTACATAATATATGTTTTAAATACATTTATAGTATGGAAAAATAATAAAAGTTTTTAATAAAAGTTAATTAATAAAAGTTCCATAAATAAAATTTAGTATGTAAAAATAAAATATCGCGCGTGGATTGAATATAAATCTAATGTAAATTGATTGCTAATAAAAACAAAAATCAAGAATATATGAATCGTGATATATACTATCTTCTTCCAATCTTTCTACAAAGGGAATTTTTCCAACAATCCTAATTCTAACATCCAATCATCATTGAATCTCATCGATTCAAATCAGTTAACTTTTAAAGTTTTAAAAGAGTTTGCCAATATCGAAATATTGACAATATTATTATTTATCCTAATTTTTTATATTAATTTTAGAAATATTGGAGCGAATTAAAAATATTATAGTAAAACTATATCGAACTTTATTGAAAATATTATTATATCAATGTTATTGATCATATTCTAAAAAAGAATTCTAAAAAAAGTTCTTAATCGTGTTAACAATATTATTAATCATATTTATATTGTAATCTGAAGAAACAAAATTGAAATGTATAAAAATAAAATAGGACAATTGCGCATAGTTTAACGTGATAAATTACTTTGGAGACGAGACTTTCCTCGACGCCACGACATTCGTTAACTCGCGTTAAGTCGCGACGACAACGACGACAGGAGGATATGTGGAGGGGGTGGAAAGGATTTTTTAATTCCACTGACGAGAAAGTTGTTCCGGTCAGAGGTTTGCAATTAGTGGAATTGAATGCAAATAGATGCAAGGGGGAAATGGAAGAGGAGTGGGAACGATTCAAGTTCCCAGGAAATCTTCAGCTTTAATGGAGAATCGCTCGTGTGAATGGCCTGATGTCTCGAATACTTGTGTTCCGTTTAATATCGATCGTTTGGATTCTGATGGAACTTTAACTGGGTGGATTGGAAGAATTATTTTTTAGATTAGTTTGATGTTGAGGAAAGTATGAACGGGGATTTTTGTTAAATTTATTAATTGATATTATTAATTGATTAATTAATAAAATATTAATATTAATTGATTAGTAGAAGTTTTATTGAAAGAGATTTAATTGAATACTATATTAAAATTAAATTTGTTAGTGAAAGAAATAATTTTTTAATGAAAGATAATATTATTAATTTTTGCATAATTTTTTTGTTTTTTGTGAAAGGAGATTTGTGAAATCTCATTGAGGAAGATATATTATAATAATTATATTTTGTACACGTACATTACACGATATGAAAAGACAAGTAAAAAACATTATTACATTCTTAACTTTAGGAGTAACAATAATTAAATTTTTATGAAAATTTGTTTTTCTTCTTTGCGAGGTTTTTTTTAATAAATATTGTATTGTGCTTTTATTAATTTACACATTAAATAGGTAAAAACGTTTTAATTTAATCACTTTTCTTAATATAAAATAGTATTCTCTTCGCTTTATTATAATAAAAATGTAAATAAAAGTTAACAATATATATTTCTTTTTGACCAATAAAAAAATTACAATTGTAAATTTGATATCATTTGCAAATTTTTCTTCATTGTATGTGAAATAATTTTTTATTTAAAATTTTTTTATTTTGTAAAAAAAGATATACGAATTAACAAGTAAAGTACTTTAACAATCAATATTTCATAACTTTCCTTCATTCAAATATAAATATTTTATATAAATTATAAAAAAAAATATATGTAAAATAAGTACAAGAACAAAAATTGTGTTCATAGATGAAAGGTTAAAAGTTAATTTTAAAAAAAATTTTAAAAATTGTTAATTTTAATGATTTTTCTTTCTTTTTAATTAATTTCCATTTTCGAATAAAATACGTATATAGATCAAGGCCAGTACCTGTTGATACCCGTCGGATATCACGTTCGCAGTCATATTTGAAAACATAACTTTCAAGGGCGCGTCGCATATGGGAAGCCAGAAATCGATCAGTTCGCAACCGACCGTCTTGGGAATAGCAACAATAGAAGTACGTCGTAGTTTCGGTGAGTTTACTTTTAAAATATTTCTTCATTACAATATAAAATATTAAAATACGTGTATTTTTTCATGCGTAATACTTCATTGTGGTACATTATGCATATAAGAGGTTTAATGGACAAGTAGTATAACTTCAATTTTTTCCTACAAAGAATATAAAAATAAGAAACGATAAGTATGATTTTTATTATGTATTTTATTATTTTTTTATAAATTTTGAAAATTTTATAATGAGATATAATAATCTTTTAACGTTTAAAGTATAAATTTTTCTGTTAAAGTTGTATGATTTTTTACAATTATCTCAAATTATAGATTTTGTTATATTTTTATATATCTATTGTTTACGTATCTAATGATTTTTTTACATAATTGTGAGATTCAAAAAGTTTTTTGAAGATATTTAAATATATTAAATATTTATTAATATGAAATATTGAATATTAATAAATATTTGATAATTTTATTGAAAGAAACATTTTTTTTAAGGAAACAGAAATAAATATATTTAGAAGGATATTTGTTAATAAAGTTCAATAACGTTATATAGTTAAAATATTTTTATCGTATATACGAATATACAAGTATTCGTATATAAACATTGATTAAAAAATTTTTTTTATTTTCGTTTTCTTCATTATCTCGACTCTCTCGTTCGTTTCATTTGAATGGTAAAAAATTTTCTTGTTTCTCTTTTAACCAATTTACATACAGATATTAATTCGAGGGGATTTGTGGTTATCTGAGAGTCGTAAAATTTAGTAACGATTGCAAGTAAAGAGAAAAAGAAAATTTCGTGAACAGGGATGAAAAAAGAACGAAAAAAGAACTGAAACATTGCTATACCGTAAAAGCAACAAGTGTTAAACATACGCTTTATTCTATCGCGTATGAAATCTTTTCGTTTTTCGAATTTCAATATTCTTCTTTTTCATTTTTCTATATGATCTTTCTCGAAGTTATATAGTAATTTTAATTAAACGTAGCGAGAAAAAAGGATTAAGATTAAAAGTATTGCTTTCTCCCAAACAGATTGAAAAGAATTCTTAATAAGATTTTATTTATTGAATATAAGCGAGAAATTGATAAGAATATACAATTTTATTTTTCAATATATTCAATACATGCAGTATTTCGAGTTTCAATTTTTCATTAATTTTCATCAAACTGAATTCATCAGGCAAATATTAATCATGTTAACTAAAAAATAATAAAAAATTTTATCATAATTATTCGTAAATAGGATTTAAAGTATACAGTCATCGATCTTTCGTACTGGAATTTTAATATAATCTTTCTTCCTCGACTACTGGTAAATTATGAACTCCTTCATATGCATGTTATGTCATAAATCATAAAAAAAAAAGAAGCTTCGTTATGCGAAGAAGTTTATTATACATCAGAGATATGTGCTCTTAAAATTCTTTAATTCGACTTTTCTTTTTCAAAAATTTCTACACAATAATTATTTTAAAATTACATTCTCTTTCTTCGTTCTTCTTTTTCTATCATTCTTTTTTCTCGCCTATGATTTACACTTTTTCACTTCCTTCACGAAATTATTTTTTAAATTATTTTCTTTCAGAAATTAAATCCTTCGTATCATTTCTTTTTGCCTTATTATTTTTACGCATTTTCATCTTTCTTCCACAAAATTATTTTCTTTCTCTTTTTCCATTCCCGAGGTCAGCTCTACTATTCACAATTTATCACTAATATATACATAACAAACAAAACACTTCGATTATTTGGAATGCAAAGGATTAAATTTTATTCTAAACTCCCATTTCCAATCCTGGTATTCAATTTTTACTCAACGAGTAAAAATCCATCCACTAACCCGAACGATTAAATCATCACATTCCACCGATAACGCATAAGAGGTTTCCAGCAAAACACGGTAAAACACGGGAAAAGAGTAATTCAACGAAACGATTCGCACAATTTGTCGATAAATCCACGAGACGTTAATGAACCGTTGTATCATTGAGCAGAACTCGATCCACGTTCACGAATTCCTATCGAATTAAACACGCGCCAATGTTCCTCGACACGCGATCGTTAGTCTAAAATTTCGCCCAATTCGATCCGCGTTAACGCATAATCGATCAATATCGGAAATATCTCGTGCATTCGCGCGTTATCGTCCCTAAATACAAGGAAAATGTTTGTTTCTTTCTTTTTTTTTTTTTTACGAATGTGGGAAACTTCATCATGAGGATAATATTTCCTCATGAAAATTTCCACCTTGTTAAACTTTCGCGAATGCTGCTTTCTCTTGCTCCGTTTGCATTTCCGGGTTCGTTGCAATTTAAATTTCGGAGACGAAATTTTTCCTACCGAAAAAAGGAAGGTGTAAACGTGTATAATTGTTGATTAAAGCGTTGCAAATTCGAAAAGATTTCCAGCCTTGACATAATTTTTTTTGATAAAATTATTCTTTTTGGGTGACGAGGTGTTTTTTATTCCGTTTAAAGGTTCAATTAGAAAGATTAATTTTTTCATTTTAAAGTTTGATATTGTTATTTTTCTTGCTTTTTAAAAAGAATTTGTATTTTGAAATAATATTTTTAATACGATTTTAGAGAAACATTGAGATTTTTGTTTCTTGGAAAGATTAATTTCATGCGGCAAGGCTTTTTAAAGAATGATATTTCGTGAATACACGAAGAAATTAATTTGAATCGTGTACTTTTGGAAGAAAAATTGAGTGTTGTAGTTGGAAGTTGAAAGTATGAGAATCGCTACAAGAAATTTTGCGGGGAAGTTCAAGATTTTGTTATGAATTAAGTTTTTCACGATTCAAATAACACTTGTAGATCTTTGCAATTAATTTTAATGAGATAACTTTTCGAGTTTTCTTTTCCTCTTTTCTTTTCTTTTTCGAACATTGGAAAATCATTTATCACACTCATCATATGTCATCATAGAAATTTTAAATATATAATACTCATATAATATTTTAAGAAAAAACGAAGGAAGATAGAAGCCAAAGAATTGAAAGAAAAGGTACTTATAAATTTATAAGAAAAATTCATTTAATTCTTTCTACAAAATAATTTTCGTTGAAATTTTCTAAAAATATTTTCAAAGTTTTCTTTAGATTTTTTAAAAAATAATATATATCTATATCGAGGAATATCTTATTTTTTTTGCAGATCTTCTATAAAAAAAAAATCTTTCACAAAATATAAAAATCAAAAAACATTTTTATCTTTGAAAAAATTATCAATGTGTTATTGTGTGAATCTTGTTTGACAATTCAAGACAAATATAGAAACGCAAAATGGGAAAAGAAAATTGGAAAAACTGTTATCTGGAAAGTAAGAAAATGTTGGTAACAGATTGGTGAAATGTAACATCCGGAACGCAGTATAAATGTGACTTGGTGGCGACTTATGCACCACGATTACGTCATCTTGGAACTTTGAAAACGCGATTAGGAAATGTTGATTGGTTAACTTTAATGCTTCATTACCGTGCAAAGTGATAAATAATCACCGCGCTATTCTCGAGATGAATCTACGCGATTTACAATCTATTAACATGCGATTATTATTTACGATTTAATTTGTTGATTGTATATTAATCTCCTTATATTGGGATAAAACTTGGGTACGCACGTGTATCATAATTGAACTACGACCTCTTTTACTCCATATTAATATTCATCATCGTAGAATTAAATGTAAAAGCATTTGTAAAAAATAATAAGTCACATATTTTTTTAAATTTCGACGAATTAAACTCTCGAGAGGAATATTTGTTGCGTTGAAAATATTGCGTGAAAAATTGGACGATTTGTTATTTTAATTCGTGAAATTAAAATTGACGAGTTACATGGAAATTTTTAACGAAAAATATAAATATTTTCCAAAACATTTCCTTATTAATTCATTCGCGAGTGTTCAATGAATAATTCATTCGCGAATGTTTATTGAATAATCAGTTTGCGAAACTGTACAGTATTATTTGCTAATTAGTATTTCGTAATTTCTGAAAATTTCGTTTCGTTATTCCAGAATTTCAACAGTTTATTACCTGAAACGAACTCGCGCTGATTCATGAATATCAGGGCTTTAGGTTTGTTGAATCTTTTCGTCAGATTTATTGTTGTTTGCAACCGTAATGGTAAAAGTTTTTGGTTGCATAATGTGGTTTAGTTGGAGAGTAAAGCACACCGGATGAATCCAGTTAATTAGTAAATTCTGAAAACACATACCAATGGTTAAACTCTTGACTGTAATTCCACTTTGTTGATTAGCGTAGAAATCAAAACCGAGAGATTCCACTAGTATTTTAAAGTGATCTTGATTAATCGGCAATCGTTAAATTTTTATATTTAATATTTTATAATATATTTTGTTTTATATCGATCTCTTTCATTTTTCACATTTTTTAATATTGTAACTATTTATGGTAAAAGTTGTTGACTTTTTTCGTTTGACTTCATGATAGATCATTTTTACCCAATTTCTAGCATCATTATCATTTATATTGGGATTTTAATGAAAATATTTTCACCCTCGTTTCGAGTCATACAAATAATCATAATAATCGTATGAATTTAGATTTGAAAAAAAAAAGTACTTTTAAAAAATTTCAACAATTTCAACAAGTCACAATTATTCTTCATAAAATTTCTTACGAAATAAGATATTAAAAAGACTTTATGAATTGCAGTCAAGAAATATTTTAATTCTAAAATTCGAAAATAAAATAATTTTGATCATTGCATAACTTATAATAACAACAAACGAAGAACTATATAAAAATTATTTTAAATGTCGCTCGTAACATCACAAAATCTTCCAGCAATTTATAATTATCCAACTATCGATCAAATAATAAAACAGATTAAGATCTGTTATTGTTAAAATTTCCACGAATTCTTCATTCTTTCGATTTCTTCAAAAATTATTCCCTCCACGAGCGCTTGATCGAACGAAAATGTTGGATCAAAAATAAATAAATAAATAAAAGAATACTTTCAACTATGAATTCGTCTCTCTCTCTCTCTCTATAAAAATAGACTCTTAATCTAGTGGAAAATCCATTAAGGTATCGGAGTCACGATTCGATTGGCCGGTGAATTGAACCGAAGAAAGTTGGAGTAATAACACAGTTCCTGTGGAATTTAATAGACTTCACGCACTCGATTTAACATCGACTATACGTGCCATAAGCGACCAACTTTCTGCAAGTATGCACGAACAGCGACGATGAATTTTGTTCCATTAAGGCGAAGTGCCTCAATTAAAGGAATAGGGAGAGGGAAGAAGAAGAAATAGATATAGAAGAAGAAATTGTATTCGCTTGTTCTAATACTTTATCGCGATAACGTTGGCCATTACCGAGGTTTCGGTTGGTTGTTGAGCTTTGAGACAGAAAAACGCGGATAGACTTTTTTGATAGACTTTGCTGTTATTAATCGTGAAATTTTTTTGTTACTTTGTTGGTGAAAATGATAGCGAGATTTTAAGTTTTTGTGGGATTGCGGTGGTGGTATGGAAATTTCTTTGAAAGGATGAGATAAAACACGATCTGATAAACTCTCTTTGTTTTGATGAAAAATGGTTCCGAGATTTTACCCTGGCTTCGAATAATGCGTATTTTATGTTACGCTTGATACGCGCTATATTTAACTGTTTGATTTCATTTTTCTTCTGTCGAGAAATTCTCGTTCGAAATTGAAAACGTTTAATGATAAATGGATCCAATTTAGTTTGAAATTTGGAAAATTCAAAATTATTCAGGATTATTATTTTTATTTCTTGCACATTTTGTTTTCTTCAATCTCTAAATCATTTCCATTTTTCTAATATTCAAATCGATATATTTCTATAGTATTTTAAAAAATTCAATTAGCTATATACACGTAATGTTATAAAGGAAGTTCACTTTAGAAATTACTTTGGAAGTTATTACAGAAAAACTGTATAAAGATAAAGATCGACGATAAAAGAAAATTTGATCTTCATAAAAAAGATAGTCATTAATAAAAGAAGAAAATGCATCTTCTTCTTGCAGAACATTATACGCAATTCTTCGTTAGGAATAAAAGTAATTACGTATTTCATATACTCGTTCGTAAAGTTTGCAAATTCGATGTTCGATTCTGTTCGTAGATTATATTCGCAAGTAGAGGGATAAAAATGAATTTTTAAGATAGGAAAAATGCAAGGAATAAAAACGCTTCTTGGTTTGAGTAACGCGATCATAAATTAAACTGCACTTAGCAGAATTTTATAATGGATCATTAGTAAGAAGTAAGAGTACGATTACGTTTTCATCGTGGTTCGAATGCGATAAATTATGCGGTATAATTATGGTAGAACGTAGAATCACGATTGTTGAAATACGATTTATAGTGTCCAAGATGGATCAAATGTAATTTCAATAATTTCGTGTTGTAATTTTACTCGATAATTAATGGAAGAACGGATGATCAATTTATGCGAGTGAGAGAGAAACGATACGAGAAGAAGTTTTAAGAAAAAAAGAAATTAATTCGTCAATCAGTTATTGTGATTTAGAGTTTATTTAATTCTTTTTGTATATTTATTTTACCATACCTTGTATTGTCACAATTTCATTTTTCCATATTATTCAAATATTTATTATACATTAACGAAAGAACAAAATTTAATTATTTCGCGATGACAGAAATGATATTTTACGTACATTGAGCCAATTTTTTATAAGAGATTTCAAAAGAACAAGAATGCAAATTTGCAGTAGATTAATCTCGTAGAATTTTTACTAATATTTCATTTCGAGATGCAAGAAAGTGGAACGACTTTTTCTGCTTGGAGATGAGGAATTTCCTCGGACAGAATTTTCAATGGAAAGTTCTTTGGATTTCATACTAATTAATATTGATGGTGGAAATATCGAGATGTGAGATCGAGAAGTATGACCATTTTTTCGTGGAGAATTCTTTTTATTAAAAAAACTTTTTATAAAAACTTCCTCTGGTCAGAAATTTTTTCAAATATTCGTGCCAAGAAAGCGAAGGTTTTTTTATTCTTGAGGTTTCAGGAAAACTTATTTCTACAAAAAAAGTAGGTTTTTTTTTTTTTTTTAAGATTCATAATGGTGACAGTACGTAGAGCATACTTTTTCATTTAGGTTAGCAGAAACATTCAATTCAAAATTCTTATATTCTTGAAATTTCATTTCGAAAATATAATTGTATTTCTCGTAGTAAATAGAATTTTGGAATTGTAGAGTAGATTGGATGGAATTTATATTAAATTGAAATTAATTAAAATATGATTTATATTTATATATATAGAAAAATGATCCCTTTATAAAGAAGATAATAGATTAGTTTATTTGATTTATTTATGTTCCAGCAGAATTTCTACAATTTTTTATTATAAAGGGTAATTTTCCAAGATACTTTTTATTCTCCGCACGAGATTTTATGGCTTCATTATGTAAATAATCTTTGAGTATTATCCAAAAAATTTTCCAAAATATTTTACACTTCATGAAGTTGTTTAATAGAATACTTAAGACTACAATTAATCCATTCCAGAAATCTTAATTAAGCGAATCTTTTCGAATAACCATTGATCCTTATAATACCATCAATTGAACGTTGATAATAGACGATTCACAAATTGTATGCATATCTATGTAAATCAACGAATATTTGCAAGATCTTCGAACTTCATCCCTGGGATTAGGATTTAATTGAACACATTGAACAGTATCTGTAATGCATATACATTGCCGAGAGAGATGCAAATGTAACTTCCTTCCGATGTACGGTGTGAATATTAAACGACTTTGATGTTTGATCACGGTTGAGAACATATGCATAAAATTGCAAACGTGCAAAATTATGTACTCTCTCCATCAATTTTTAACACTCACGAGATCTTTTATTTTTTTATACTTGATAAACATTTCATCATCTCATTAATATTAACCACAAAATTATTAAAATTTCATCATTCAAAATTTCCTATTTTTGAGATAAATTACATTTACAAATTAGAGATATTACATTCCAATAATGCGCAAAGAATAATTTTTCTTTAAAAAAGTTTTCAAGAATAGCTCATACTTTTCATTGGTCTCGTCTCGTTTACGATAAACACCTCGATGCAATATTGCATCGAATGCGAGTGTAACAAATTATTTACATTTCTCACCACTGATTAAATTTCTCACGGTTGCTGATTTCAGGAAATATCTGAGGGTCGACCGCTATTCTTAACGAACGGAACATGGGTTACATTGCTGATGAACTGATTGTGCAGATGTTGTCGAACATCTTCGCGGATTCGGTCTAGAATCGAGTCAGCAATTAAGTAGCTCACGGTGATCAACGGTTTCTGTGGTGAATCGTTGCCTTTCTTACACACACACACACACATACATACATACACATACGCACGTTATACAGATACAGAGAATTTGATAAATTGTATACAATTTGAGGAAGGTGGAAACCATAATGAGAGCTATTAAAATATTTAGCTGTATCTCGACGAGAAAGTAGCCGACCGTGTTGACACTTGGCGATTAAGTTGTTAACTCTACGTTGATTTTACTCTCCGATTTTCCACTCGAATCTACCCTCGAATGTGCTTCCGTGTTTGCTCGGCAGAATACGTAGTTCAACAACGTTTCTCCGATTTTGTGTTTATTTACCGTAGATTTATCCCTTGTGTGATTGTTCCCGTAGTTCTCAGCTTCCATGAATAGATTTAGAAAAAGTTGATGAAAGTTGGGGTGGAAATGTTGGATTAAATTGTGTTTGAACGAAATTTACAGTAGTTACTCTGTGTTTATTCTGAATTATTTGCACGCCAAACGATTGTTTAAATATCTTAATTGTGGTGATATGATTACTTGAATCGCAAACAAGGGGATATTATTTTGAAGAGATTATTTTATTAAAGAGAATAAAACGATTATTTTTGAGAAATACACATTTAGAAACTTCTTTCTTCGTATATTTTTATATTAAATAATATATAATTTAATATTATATTTAATATTGTAGTTCCGTTTTATACTGGATCCATTTGACTTGCATCACTGATGATTCTCAATTCCCCAAATAATAATACGAGTAACAGAATAATAATCATTATTTCCATAACAAATTTAGGTTGAATAATTAACATCGTTTTTTTTTTTCGAATTGAAAGAAACATTTTATCTTTGTTTTTAATTTCGTGTAAAAGTATGGGACTTCGTGTGCATATTTTTGTTCCTGGCGAAAGAATTAAGACATTTAGATAACAGACGAATTAATCCAACGTAATTAAACTCACGACATTCGATTATCGTTCCCTTGGCTGAGCCAACATGCATCTTTCCGCTTTAAACGAATGTTATAGCAGAATGGTCCAATAGGAAACTATTCTCGCTCGTTCTGGCTGATTAATGATTGTCCTTTCTCTAAATTAACATATCGCGTTAAACTTAACAATTGTTTAATCTTTCTCCTAAATTCATTCCCTCTCTCCTCTTAAAATTTCAGCAGTTTAAACGAATATGTTAATTAATCTAACATATCGCATTAATAATCGTATCGTTTAATCTTTTTTTTCTTTTTTAAATTTTATTCTCTCTCTCTCTTAAATTAGCTTGAAATTCCAGAATTTTTAAGTTGATGTATTAAACTTTTTAACGAGATATTTTTTATATTTCAAAAGGTGTAAGAGGCATATTTATTTTGTATTCTTTTCTTCTCTCTACGATCTAATTTCAATACACATTCTCGAATTTGAAAATTAAATTATCGCAAATTGAATGACAGATCGAATATTTAGTATCATCATAGTTGCAATATTATATTCGAATCGGAAGCATTATTCAGAGAGGCGTAATTCGTATTAAACGGTGGTGTACCAACCGACCGCTTCGATGTACCTCATCGTTCAGTGTTCTCACGTACCGAGGATATTTGTTCAAGAATACTGAAATAGGATTGCATCCGACGTGCTTACGTCTAACCGCGTAATGTTCTCTTGTAACAATTACACGAGAGGAAATAAAAGCGCAATCGAGGACAGGATCTTAACGAACGTGACTCGATTAATTACAGAGTAAATACCTCGTTTCGTTATCTTCTTAGTCTTTTTTCTCGTAATTAACCCTTTGATTGCGCGGTGATCAAAAAGGAAACGCGTCGAAATCGATTTGCACTCTGTCATTCGTATTCAAAGGAGCGATCGAGAAAATAAAACGTATCTCGTCTCTTAAATCTTGCCAATTTTTCCAGACGTACTTTTAATAATTGGAAACAGATTCGATTCAGATCGGAGAGAAAGGCCAATTCGATCGTTTATTTTATTCTGAAAGGTCAGATTTATTTTCACAAATTTTATAAAATTGTTCCCAGTTTGGGAGAATTTTGTAGAAAAAAAATTCGAATGACACAAACCTTAACGAGTAAATTTCCAACACGTTTGGATGCAAGCTGATCGCAACCGTTAGCGAGCGGATCGACTTTGATCAAAGTTTTCGACGCGGAGTTGAAAGCAAAGCCGTGCAATAAGGTCGGTAATTAAATTTTACATGGTTTCCCTAAACGGTAAGGTTGTATTTATTCGCGCAAGAGCATCGATGGTGTCGCGACGCTTGTTAAAGGTGAGTTCGAAACGTTGCATAATACATAACGTTAAGTCGACAGTTCTTACTGATCAAAGCGCGGTTTTTGCTTCCGTGACATTTACAATTTGCTTGCTTAACGTTAACATTCCTTTTTTTTTTTTGACTAGTTAATGCAAGAGAGAGGATTTTCAAGATCTTCTGGCAAAGATAATACGCGTCGAAGTGCATTAAGACGATGTGTATTAATGTATTGTAATTAATGTTTGACGAGGAACACGCTATTCGTACAATGGAAACTGAGATATTGTCAAATTTATATATAATATATAATGACTTATATATAATGACTTGGAAGTATGTGATTGTGAAAATGTGAAAAATTGCGTGAAAAATTTCAAGATTTAATATCTTGGAATGATTGTTCTTAAGTTTGTTTTTTAAATTTTCAAAAATTTTATTGAAATCGTTCTTTGATCATCAAATGTCTTAATCGTTCGATATTTTGAGGCAGAGTTTTCGAATTTTCAAAAATTTTATCTTTTATATTCTTAAAAGTTTTGGAAAGTAATTGAAGAAAGAATTTTGAAAGTTTGAATTTTTGAACTTTTTAAATAATTCAAGAGTTCTCTATTTAATATTTTATTCAAAAGTATGGATCCACACTCTATGCATTATTATCTATATCACAATAATAAAGTTTTCAAGTAGCTTGGTAATGCATTTACCGCTATATAATTAATATTACTAAAAAATAATTGCTTTGTAGTGATAATGAGTGGATAAATAATATTATTAGCTTAAATTATTAAATATTTGAATAATAAACATCAGAATTAAGAAGTTTTCACTTGGAAATATATCTTGCGATTTATATTCTCTTTAATCTCGTATTAGATAACAGTTTTTGAGCACGTTCTTTAAAATTTCATCAAACTTTATTAAATTTTAAACACGATTTATGGTTTGTTTAAAATAAATTTCAATTCCCAAAGAGAAAGAGAGAGATTAATAATTTTATTTGTGTAATTTTATAAGCAAGATACATACATCTCCTCATCGATCCCTTATTTTATGATTTTGAGGAATAATTTATAACATATCTCTGTACGAATGTTGAAATAATTAATATATTTTCGAGGATTGTGAAAAAATAATTAATATTTAAGATAATATTCATAAAATTTAATAATTTTAACTATGAATAAAATTTTCCTCGTAATAATTCAATTATATTCATATACATGGACTTTACATTTAGAATACTTAAACAAAAAAATACATATGAAAATTCTAAATACTACAACAAAAAACAGAATTAGAACAACTTTTCTCAAGTTTCCAAAGATTATTGGAAAATTATCACGTAGCCTATAAAAGCAAAAAAAAAAAAAAGAAAAAAGAAGAAGAAGAAAGAAATATGAAAATGACAGCGATATTTTCTCGAACGAGGTAAAATAAAAAAATAAAAAAAAATGGTAATTTCATGCATCGAACTATAAAAATCGGAAATAAAAATGGACAAGAATGAGGATCCATGACAAAGCGGTTGTAATTTTCCACGAACGATCGTTTTCATAGGTTTCCCGTGGCAGTTTCGCGTGTTTCGATCGAGGCCAGGGTGAAATTATTACATCTCCGTGTGGGGAATGGGCAAAATTTGTTGCCCACGGTAGTGGACAACGCTGGCCAACTATACTTGCTCGACCACCGATAAGATTATTTACAGCGCGAACGAAATCGTATTACACGCATCCGCGCGCGTAAATTGGCACACGCGTTGCGAGACGAGCGTCCTTCCATCTTGAGAATGGAAATTCGATTCGATTTTTGAAAAAAAAAAAGAAAAAGAAGGCACGGAAGAAATTTCTTTATATCCCTTGAGAACAAAGGATTGATTACTCTAATAATTGTTTTCGTACATTTTTACATAGAGATAGCTCGCGAGTTACACGGTAAATTCGGTTCTTTGGTAATTTCGAAACTGTTGATTCGATCTTGTTACCATTTTTGAGTTATTTTCGATCGCGATTGAATTTTTTTGCCGATGAAAAATATTTTTCAGAAAAATTCCGATACGATTTCGAAAGTTTATTTATTCGACAAAATAGAAAAATAAGATAGAAATATAAATATCTGGATTAATTACAGGTATCATAAATTTTTAACTTTGCTACCGAGGATAGAAAATAAATCTCGATATCACTGCGATTAATAATTATTTTGAACAATTTTAAAAATTGAATAATACGTTAACATTGTGAAGAACACTTATTCGTTAAAAATGATTTTTTTAATTATGAATGTCGGTGTTAATTATTTCATAAAAAGAAAGATCATGTACGATTTGTCTTCAACGGTGAATTTTGTTCTTAACATATTTACCAAAGTTTGAAAGTTTCTTATCATAGGTGGAGTATATGATTCTGTATCAATTTAGGCATGTTCACTGATTTTTCGAGACTGGATTAAATCTATAACACGATAGTAATTAATCAAACACAATTCAGTTCCGTGGTCAGCAAGATCCACGAGTGTACGAACTATTGATTTTCTCTATTTCGGTGTCGAATATATACGAAACGATGTACAAACACTCTCTATGTACTCGCCTTCGATTTTCGGCATACACGCACGATATTTATTAATAGCATCATGATTTGTGATCCTACATTCGTAAATGATAATAAATAAGTTAAAATTTATCATAAATTATAATCTCTGGTGTGTTATTCATCGAATTAGAACATTTGAAA